CTGTTGCCTTAGGCCCATTTGGCGCTTCCCCGTCTTACCCGTCAGTACCCTATCCAAGACTTTCGTGACCCGGTCCAGTGTGAGTATGCCGCCAACGATGGGTCCAATGATGAAGGCCATCGTAGCTGAAGCCTCACGAAACACCATGTAGAACGGCAAACGGTCCGACGGCACCACATCTGCCAAGTAGGCCTGGGAGACGCGGTTTACCCTCCGAAATCAAAGCAACAGCATTCAGAGTCAACCTCAAACTGACAACCTCCAGATCTCATTGGCCGGTGAGGTTCACCAAAAGCTTTGCAAATGATCAGCATGTGGACGCTTCTCCGGTTACTGTACTTGCTTCTCAATTCATTGAAGGTGCAGCAGTTGCAGTCCTTGCATGTTCCAGGCCTTGAAGATGGGATTGCAACCAGCGAAAAAACCAGTCACAACGCGCGCAAGTACAAAGTACTGAAAACCAAAGTACTCCAACGCCAACGCCTCTCAGGGATTCGCAAAGTTTTCATGATGGCGTTGTTACAAGCACCAAGAGATTCAAGCTGCACCAGTCTCTGGTCTGTTGTAGAGGCACGTTTTGGGCAGGTAGCACAGCCACCTGACTGACTATCACCCATTCAATTATGGAAAAACCCTGGTAGCATGATATAGCATGGTACAGGAAATGGGTGAAATGGATGTTCATCCCAGAAAAAGGTCTCAAAGGTATTTACATGTATTTACCCATCTCCAAATGCACTGACTTTGTCTGGCCGCACCTGCACAGCGAACAGCCCCGTAGTCACAGAGAGGGACCACTTCAATACTCTACGACGGCCCCAGGAGTCGCTTTTGTGCGGCCAAAACGTAACAGCAACGAGCATGCCCAAGGACCTAGGCAGCTCCATGTGATGCTTAGAACTCTCGCATGCTACTTTCGTAATGACTCTGCTATCAACCCTGGCTGCCTGATTTCTTTCAGTCAGCTGCCAGATCCATATGACCCATCTTAAAACTTAAAGCGTTCCATCTGTCGATCTCTGTCAACTTTCTCCCACTCTGAAAACAAACAAGGTGACTCCGAATCTCAATTATTTCAAGCGCGCAGAGGCATTGAGAACCGAAGATGCAAATGATATAATTATAACAAGTCTGTATCCCTCTCGAAGACCAATAGTCGTCTTGGATCTCGACTGTGATGGCAAACTGGAGGTGGCACATATAATTTGCCAAGCCACATAGAAGCCGCAACCAACCCAGTCCAGAAGCCGTGTAGAGTATATCGGCTTCGAATCCCTGGCAGTGCGGGTCCTGGCATAGTGAAGCCTGACAGGTCATGAAAATGCAAAGCAACAGCAGCGTTTATTCATTACAAAGCAGTAGACTTGATCAACAGGCTGTATTCACGACTTCCGCGCAAAAACACCATGGCCGGCATGATTTCCCATCCTCTTGACTTTGCATTGATTGGAACCAGAAGCCAAAAAAAGAGAGCTGGCCGCTGTGGGAGTGGAAAAATCACAAAAAAAATGCACTCCCGCAGCCGCCAGCTCTCAAAAAAAGCTCACGTGTCGACATGGAGTATTTCCCTGACCTTTTTTCTCCGCTTCACAGTCTTCAAAAACCGTTTGTTGCGATGCAAGTATTCGCTTGATTTATGCTACGGGGCATCAGCAATAACAAGTCGAGAGTGACTGAAATCTTTTGGATTTCCATTTCTGCCATCAACAAACTCAATTTGTGGATTTGAAACAGAACTGCGAGGACGCGTAAGCTTGAAATCCCTGTACACTGACACAACTAGCGGTGTAAAGCCCTGTCAGTGATGTGCCTAGGAGACTCAAGCAGGATGCAAACAGCAGCCATTTGACACTCTTTTCGCTCACCTGGTCCAGAACATCCACGAAAATCACAAACAAGCGGTGGGGATCCACAGCATGAACCTATTGCCATTGAAACAACGGACTTTCAAGCAAGGAGTATCATAATCTTTCATAAGCCTGAGAAGCAATACTTATATAATGTAAATGCGTGGGGCGGGTGCTTTTTCTCGATGTCTGCTGATCATATGAAGTTTCCAATGTTCCAATGTTTTCACTTTCACCTAGCTGCTACCACCACGAAGTCCCACCTGCATGGGCGTTGACGGCGAAGCAGCAGGGGCCGCAGGAGAGCTCGCAGTTGAGTGCAGCTGCTGATGCCGCTCCCGACTGAGTTGAAACAATTTCCTGTGGCCATAGTGTTGACAGTGTTGACATTTCCGGTTGAGAGGCTCAAGTCTGCACCAATTTTGCTTTGTGGAACTCTCAGCACACCTACAGAGGATGAGGTCACATGCTCAGTCAAGAATATTCAGCCTCTTTACAAATTACAGGATTCCGTGTAGAACATTCAAGTCCTACGACCGAGAACTGTCCTCTTGGATCTATTGGCGCAGAACCTCCCACTCACCAGAACTGCGAAACTGCAGCTCGCAGTCCTCCAGGCAGCTCGAGCAAAACGGTGGACCCTGGTTTCACAACAAAATATCTGGCAAATGCGGTCAGTGCTAACTGGATTGAGTATTCATCCCAAAAATATGGTATCATAGGTTTTGACCATCTCCAGGTGATTGAGGTCAAAGTTTGACTTGCGCAAACTTTGTTTCTGGTTTCATCTTTTCATGTCTCTTGCTCTTCCATCTCTGTTTCCATGTCTGGATCCAGATCCATCCTCTGATAACCATCCCCAATATGGCCATGGTAGGTTTATTGGGGGGTTTACCACAGGCACATGAAGATCATGAAGTCCCCGGGTCCAAAGGTGTCGCTGCCAGTGGTTGGATCTGGCAACAGCTTTCTCCGACATCTCCGACCAGCCACGCGGCCGCTCGGCGCCATGCTGCGCCGTAGCCAGCCACGTGCGCGGCTCCAACGGCTCCGGCGACATCAAAGGTGGCCGCCATGTGCCCGCGCCGGCACTGAACAGAGCCATGGATTCTGCAACACGACATGGACACGACATGGACATGATGTGACGTGATGGACATGACATGAAGATGACCTGGAAACATGATGAATATCAATGAATATGACTGGATATGACATGACTTGACCGAACATTTCCCAAAAGCTGTATCTAGGATACTCGGCCCATGTACCATCCCATCTGCTCATCTGCCTCGCTAGGAGAGTTGGACGCTGCCGATTCTGCGCCTGTAGCCCCAGGAGGAGGGTACGATTCTCCCAAAATGACTTTCCCCAGAAAAGTAGGCATGGCTCCCAATTCCCCAGCGAGCAAGACGGATCTAACAAACCTTACCACGAATCACAATCATTACTCTTCAACAGTGTGCATAACTACAGGTGTGCAAATGGTATTTCGGTCTGCCAGGAGGTGCCACAAAGTGCTGCACGTCTTCCCAATCTGTCAGCATTTAAAATCTCTCTGGCTTTGTTCCCAAGGAACCACGAAATTTCACCACATAGAGATGGACTTGGACCGTAGATTTGACGTTTCTGCATGTGGCATCTCTCCTGTTGTATGGCCAAGCTCATACCCTTCGCAGCCTGGCCTCGCGACATTGCTTTCACCTAGATCACCAGCAATGCACAAGGATGGTGGCCCATTTCAATTGCACTGCTTCAACTGATGCGACCACATAACGAAGGGGGTGGCTGGTGCGGGAAAGCACAAACATTTAGGAATCCCGCAATGCAGAATCATGCAAATAGATCCATGGACAGTTGTCTAGGGCTGCAACATCGCAACATCATCGTCCACATATCACTGATCCACCATACGGAGCAACTTTGATATCACAAACACAAACCACACAAAGATGTATTCTCCATGTTACAACAGTTTCCTGTTTCTCTCAGACCCATGGCTGCAGGGAAAACATCTCATGTCCCCAGTGGAAAAAAAGCTGTCTAAGTAGTGAAACCGGCCCATGAGACCTCCTTGCGCGGAGCTTTTGATCTGCCTGGACGAAAGCAGGGACAAAGTGCCGATCCGTACTGAAGCAACAGGTGAAGCTATCAGCTTCCTGTAATTCAGATTCACACCCAAAAAGGTGTTCAGATGTTCCTGTTTTTCATTCCCCGGATTTCTTGTCCCTGGCATCCTGCCAATTTCATTGTTGCTCATGAAGTCCAGAGATGTCCAGAGCCCGCCTTTCGGGGCGGCAGACTCTGTCTGTCGCCTGTGGAAGACAGAAACCACTCGATACTCTCTTGTCTGGTATAAGCCAAACACGACAAGTGCCTCCAATCTGTCAGGAACAGACTTGAATGATCATTGCAAATTACTTTCCAAAAGAAATACTTGGAGAAACTAGCCACGAATTGGAGAGAGGCATCCATTCCTGGTAATCCAACGAGGTCGGTCTTTTTGATGACTGATTTCGTTGCTATCCAGGTAGTACCAAGGAGCACAGAGCTGACCAGCAAATACCCAAGCCCAAATCCTGGCCTTTTTGCAGGGGCTGATGAGGCCCCCTTAGAGCGTTCGGTGCCTCGGCGGAAGCCACAATTTGGGACCAAGGTAAGATTTTTTTTGTTTGGTTCTTTGGATGTTAAATTGATGTTAAAGCAGCTGAATCTTGATGAATTCTGAACTTATCTGCCAGGTCTACAAAATCCTTTCTCGGAATGACTTAGGAAACTCAGCGGGAGCAAACATGGCGGCCAACGTCCATTTTCTGCAGTGACTTTCCTGAGGACTGCCAAAGCTTCCTGGTGCCAACAGCACATCATCAAAATATCGCCTCTGCGCAAGAGGGCGCAGTGGGAGCTGCTTGGCACTTGCGCTGACCTTTCTGAAGTTTTGGCCAACAAAGATTTGAAATATGTGTGTCTGCGTCCTTTCCTTTCGGCTGGGTTGAATTTCTCCTGGAACAAAGCCATAGTTGCGGACAGCCAGACATTCCTTATAAACGCAACAGCCAATCCTTTGTGTAGTTTGTCTCTGCTTGACGCCATCAACACAATCCTATCAAACCCAGAGCACAACCCCTAGCCATGCTCCATCTCAGAGGCTGCTCAGTAGAAGTAACGGTGCATGCTCTGAAACTTGAACTTGTGCTTCTGACCTTAGTCATCTTAGTCCATTTGGCATCCGACTGGGCGAGCAGCAAATCGAGCGATCTTTGCTTGAGTCTGAGCCCAAGTGACGGAGGATTGCAAGGCCATGTCCAATGGTCTGCTCAATCTTGGGCTTGAAGTCTGGGTGCTTCTCCAAGATCCTAATTCAGCAACTGAGCTTATTGAATAGCTGATTTGCATCTGATGCATCTAATTTTTACAAGCGTCACCGGCGTCACCTTGTACTACCCTTTCAGCATGACACCTTGCAGGTTCCTTTACAGAGATAGTTAGGTCATTAACGGCGTTTCACAATATCCAAAGGAACGACCCTGATGAGGTACTCCGACCTCGGCCCGTGCCAGCACTTGTGCACTAGGCAAGCGCTGACAGGGCCACATAAGAAATCATAAGAATATAAGAATTGTAATCAGAGCCACAGCCTCAACAAGAACTATCAAGAACTACTAGGACAACTACAACTAATGACAAAGACAACTGATACACGAGCGACGACGATGACGACTACAACAATGCCGGCGACCACTACGAAACTAGAACTACGACGACCACGACGAGGACAGAAGGACTTTCCAACTACAACTTGTCAACAAGTCCCCCGCTAATTATGAGAGCAATTGAGAAATGCATTCTTCAGCAATCTGGCCTGTGAATTAGGAAGATATGGATCTTGGGGCACTTCACACAATCACCGGACCGGATCCCAGTATTGCCCACCAAGAATCTTATCATAGCTCTCAGCAGCAGACTTTGCCTGGGGGGAAAAACATGGGAACAAAAGCTGGATATGACAGCTGACCCTAAAGATCGATGAGTTTTCTCAACCAGATAGAGCTAAAAGCCATACTTTCATCAACAGGCAATCTTTGTAGATCAACCCGCATATTGCAGGTGTCTTTTCCTTTCCAGTGAACGGCAACCTTGCAATTGAGCTCCAGGCATGTTCATCCATGTTCTCTACCTTCTCCTGGGGGGAAGATATCCAATCCCTGATTTCACTGATGATGGTTGGTCTCCTTTTCATTCGAAATGGATTGGAATCTCTATACGTCCCTTGGTCCCTTGGAGAAAACCACAGGGATTGAGCAATCCATGATATCTTGAGAAGTCAATAACTCGCAAACATCAGCAAACCAAAGGGCTCAAGTCGACTCGAGATGCAAAAGTGTTTAAAGTGTTTGCCAGGATGTAACTTGTGGAGATGACACTGGCGCCACGGTGTCCTCAGCAGCAAAGCCAGTGCCCATGAAACCACTGGCGCGGGTTGCAAGCTCTGCCAGCTCGTTCAGGTGGTCGCGCACATCCTGCGATTCAACGTGAACACCCATGCATTCAAAACACAATTGTAGAGACAGTGTAAGGCCTAGTATCATATATATATATAATTAGCTGTATATTGTACGATAATTGATGTTTGCTTTAAGGTGACACCTACATTGGATCTGTCTTCGAACTCTGGTCTTGACAGCAACTCGCTCGGTTGCAGCGTCTTGGAAGACTGGGCAAAGAGAGTCTCAGTTTCTCTGGGTTAACACCCCGTATCTTCCCCGGTCAAGGGGTTCGAGACGACAACAGGGCACACCTCGCATTGGTAGAAGACATCCATCCTCAAAGCGAGTTGTGGAAGGCTGGCAGCGCTTACTGAGGATTACTGAGGAGTATTAAGTGCTTCAAGAAAAGTCAAGTCCAGTTGACTTCAGCAAAAAAAACAGGAATAATACTGCATAAGACAACTTGATGCAGCTCAGCTTCATTTCCTGAACCTGTTTGAACTTGTCGCCTTGTCGCATGGCCGGTTTTCATTCATGCAAGAAATCAGCAAACATGACTGTCTCAGCACATTTGTTTGATTCAAAATTAATCTGACGGCTACAGCTTGTCGTTGGAACATGTACCTCCTTTCTAGCACATAGCATTTGCCAACCTACTTCCGGTTCATGCAGGTATGGCTGAACCACGGTGGTCAGTTTCCTTAGATGACCGCACCGTTGCTGTCAAACTTGAGCATGACCGTATTAGATCTATACCAAAAGCATACAGATCATTAGCAAAACGTGGGAATTCTACTTTTTGTTTACACATTATTTGAAAAGAAACCCTTGCAAAATGACAGGCTCAAGAAGGTAACGGAATTAAAATGGAAGGCCAAACATTGCAATGCTTTAAGCCGCTTCAAAATGAGCAAGTGTTCGCGTAGCCCCCAGAAGGACGACCGTCTGCAACGCTACAGAAGTCCATTACGGCGATGTCTTGAAGCAAACTTGACGTCAACAAGGTTGTCGTCACCATTTGCTGCCATGGTGCTCAAACTCTGCCTCGTGCACAGAAGGTGCACATAGTTGTCAAGAACAAGAAGACAACAAACAGAAAATCACAAGGGTTTCAAGAAAATATCCTGGAAATTGACTCGACCATACCACTTCATACTTTCGATCCTTGGAATTCTTCTGGCTACACAAAAATCCATAGCAAAAGGATGGAAAAGGGACCGTTTCCTTCCAAGGGGATTTTCCCACAGCATATAGTCAACTGAAACAAGACATATATATATATATTAAATTATATATATATATATATATGCAGTATGTAGATACATATAGATAGGGACTGGCAGAGAAGATCAAAAGCTTCTCTCTCTATCGATACGTTGCACCCAAATACAAAGTGTTGCGCTCTGCCCAGCTTTCCACACCTCCCAGAATGGAACACTGTAGACCAAGTTGAGGTAGTCGGCCCAGTTGGTACTCATCACCTCAAACACTCTTTGTTTTTTTGCAAGACCATTAGCACATGGACAGCATCACCTGCTGAGGCGTGGACAGTCGCATGGTACCTCACGACTAAAACTGGGTGAAGACTTGGGTCACAAACAAAACAGTGAGTCACGGAGAAGTTCTTGCAGTGCTCTGAGGAAGCGGAATCGCAACCAACACGAAAACTGCAATGAAAGCTGAGATCCAATAACAAAACAGTCCAACATGAGAATCGCAATACTCCCGAAATGCAGCAAGTTCATGAGCTCAGGCAAGCAACTCGTCCAGGAGAGAAACAACATCATCCCGGGTGTACTTTTGAACCTGGCAACAGTCCGTCTATTTCAAAAACAAGACATTCTGCCAGCCTAAAGTGGTTTGGTCCCAGGCTCAAGCCTCCACTCTGAAGCTGAGATGAGTTCTTGGTATGTTACTCATGATATTGATCCAGACAATGATCCAACGGCCACGGACGGAGATGATCCGTCTCAATCGCATGTGTGGAAGGCGCCAAGTGTAGGTCCCTTTTTCAAACTGTAGGCACTATAGACAAAAAATTGGCACAAGCAATCCCTGGTACTTTGCCTGAATACTTGGCCTAGAAAACAGCACCGATTCTTTATGTTCCACTCTACTAGTTTGAGCTTCTGCACCAGCGTAGTGTGGTGAATAGTATGGAATTGGAAAAAATCAAGCAGTCAACCTACTTAAACTACTTTACTTTTTGCAAGACAAACCAAACAAACATGCACCAAGAGGCAGTGATGTAGGAGCGCACAGAGTCCTGAGGATACACAAAACATGGAGAATCACACATCCAACTCCAGCTGTCTTTCAAGATAATTGCAGAACAACTGCAAATAGGAAAATTCAAAAGAGCTATCTGAAGATATCTGAAGATGTCTGAAGATGTGACACAAACGCCCGTACAATGACTGTGACGCGTCCCCGACCTGGAACGGGGAGCGTGGGCAAGCCAAAGGCAGTCGTGCAGCTGGCAAGGCGGACTGAACGCGGGCGAACCTTCGGAGCACATGCTTCGCTTCAGGTCTACGTCCAGGCCTACCATGTCTTGACCATGTTCTTGACCATGTCTTGTGGATGGTTGTGAGAGCTCAACTATGAACATGAGTTGGAATTGCAATGCAAGTCCCTCTATTCCAATTTGGACCAGCCTGGTGGCCTTGCCAGCGCAAGACCTGATCAAATGCCAAATGTCCACTCTTTCCTTTTACTTTGCAAAGTCCGGATGCTGCGACGCCTTCACACTCTCTTTCAAGGATTTGCTAGTCCAAGAAGAGATTGAGCAAGTGCTCTCTGTATAGAGATAGAGATAGAGATAGATCTGGATATTCATGCAGGTATGGCTGTCGGTATGAGCAAGATCTCGAAATGGTCTACACTCTACACAGTCTGCACATGTATTTCACCAATTTTCACCTATTTTCACCATGTCACCATGATTCCCTCAGATCCCCACGCGAAGCGTCGCATCGCTGCAGTCGCCATCTCTCAAGCCTCATGAGCTAGAGAGAGTGATGAGTGATTGCCACACCTGTTCTACCATTCTGCAATTTTTCTCTTATCAAAAAACCATCTCACCTGATCAAGAAACTTCGGAGCCGGCACACATGCTATCAGCATCCTGATTCCTGAGCACAGCTGCAACCTAATGCAGCTCAGACGCAGGAAACCAGAGAGCGGTAAGTATCGCTTGAGCCAGATCTTTTCCACCGAGTGGAAAGGCTTAGATGTGCACTTGATGTCAACTCAAAAACAAATTTCACCTACAGTTCAAGTGAGATCATGGAATGCTGAACTACAGTGGAGTCTGCTGACCTTTTTCTCCGCACATGCAAACTGTTGATTTGATTCATGCAATTTTCTTATAAACCGAATGCAATACAGCAAATCCAGCCTTTCAACAAAAGGATGAAGGAGAGGAAAGTTGTGTTTCTTCACCATGCAGGTTCCGGAAACACATTAAATGGCAATCATGCAGAAAACCCAAATTCACTCATGCTGGTGTCTGTGAAAGCAACCTAAAAAACGATGCACAACAAATCGGAGTTGACTTGTGCAATTTGAAAACATGTCATATATACTGTACCCATTTTCCAAGTCCTTGAAATACTCCAGCATACTCACTTTCCCAACGAGTTCCCTTGTTCCCATATCTGGGCATCCAAACTGACACGCACCCTCTTTGGTTTGTCCTCAAGTCTGGCCAAATGTTTTTCACAATTCACAAAAAGATAATTAAGTTCCGTGGGGTCCGAGAGCTTAAGAAGACAATTGAAACCTATACTTCAGCAGCAAACGATGGGATGCAATCTCTTTAAAAATCGTTGAAACCTGTCAGATCGTGATCGTGTATGTTCGATCGTGTATATTCACAAGAATACAAACCCAATTTTTGCCATGGGCCATGAGTATATGTGCTGTGCACGTGGGCAACCATTCCCCCCCATCACAGCATGTTTTTTCATCCCAAAACTGAGCCAAGAACAACCTCAGCAGCCGGCCGCTTCCGAGCCGATTGTGTGCACCTGCAGGCAATGCATTCGGATCTGCCTTCAGATTTGGAACGTTTTCAACTGCCAACAACCTCCAGTGGCAACAGTTCAACAGGCCAACGACAAGTCGCCGCCAGTCAGGAGTCACCAAATAAACCATACTGGATGCAAGCGCCCAAAAACAAATCGCCTAGATCGGGCCATGCACACCCAGGGTCATGGGATAACACCTCAGCTGGGATGCAATCCAATTTAAGACTCAATGCCATTCATCGCGGATCTATTGGTTGGTTCTTGAATTTTATGATTATCACATGCCCCTGTTGATTTTGATGTTTTATCAATTTTGCCATGCAACCGTTTTTTCTATCACTGTCATTATTATCATTCATCATCATCATCATCATCATTCATAATCACCACCACAATCGTGTTTGTCAGGCATGGCCCATGTCACAATACAACCCACTGGGTCTTTGAACTGCTTGCCACTCCCAAAGGCATCAATGAAGATCTGCAAGCAAGGGAGGGTGGCCCACGCGAGTGGCAAGCCACTGGAGCCAAGCAGAAAAAATGGTGGTATTCATGGACATCAACACGTGTTCCGCACATGTTCATCAAAATCAATTTGAACGGTTTAGGATGAAAAATGGAGGCCACCCCAAATGTATATTTATTTTTCCTGTTTAAATAAAAATAAATGAATTGTCTGCATTCGCCAAACCTGAAGCAACAAGATGGCACAAAAACCGGGACAACGCCGGCCTTTGCATTTGCAGAAGTCAATTCAGTGATTTCCAAGGTAAAAAAACAGATGATTCATATGATCATTTTTTTTCAGTCCGTCTGTTCTTTGTTTGGTGCATCAAAGAATCAAAATAACGCACGCAACAAAATCAAACGCTTTCAAACAAATTTCCAATTTCACACCCATGAAAAACAAACAGCGAGAAAATCCAGTTTCTGATGCCGATGAACTGTTTGTTTGTTTTTTGGAGCGGATCCACTGTTTGTTGATGTGCGAAATGGTTTTTCCCACAGATTCAGGCAGCACGCAAAACACAGCTACCTTTTCTGCTGTAGCTTCTTCGAGCCACTATTTGGGCGGTATCACATGAATTGTTTTGTGCCGAGTCATCCTTGCAGAACCATGCCATGCAAATCTTCCCTGTATCGTTCTTAGCATCAACTGGAGAAATGACTGATCCTAAGGAGTGCAGTTACTAAAATCTGACACCCCACCTTGACAGCATTCCCTGCGGATTCCTGTCACCTTTCGTGGTGCTACCTGCAGTTTCTAGATCCTTTACCTAGGCCTACTGTGCCATGCATAGACTCTCTAATTGGTCTCCAGGTGCTTTGGAACAAAAGAAAACTTTTCAGCATTTCACCAGCTATCAGTGTTTCACTGGATCCATGCTATCATCTACCAGCTACCACCGCATGCACTGATTGCTTCAAGTGATATCCACGAGGGCCTCAACCTCATGCAATGCACGCAGTATCTCTGCTGCTTCCTCCCAATTTCCAACCTAGCTGCTTCATCATGTCTTCTGGTCAGTGTTGCTACTGCACGTCGAAGTCGAATCCGGTTGGCTGTGGAGTACGCAAGCATTCGATCATATGCATCATTGTCCAAATGACCGTATTGCAGATTTGCCCATTCATCTGGGACAGATACCTCATATTGTGAACTTGCCAGGTATCTTCTGCGTCTTTCCTCTGCTGTTTCGGCACCCATGTCATCGTCACTGCCATCTTCTGCTTCAGGTTCTGGATGAACTCCTGGGTGCACATCTGTACGATCGACAGTTAGACCATTCAGAGGAATGCCATTAATGGCCATATGGACAATTTCATCACCGTTCGGATCATCAACATTGGGATCGTCTCCTCCATCAGGAGGATCGTCATCTCCTGGTTCTTCTTCACCACTCTCCGTATTTGCACCTTCATCTCCAGCATTGGCCTCACCCATTGGGACATTGATTGGATCTCTTGGCTCATCCAATCGCACTCTTTCACCTCCAAGGTGCTTGCAAAGATCTGCATAGATACCTTCCAGATCCACCATCATGTCACCTTGCTGTCGGGCTGCACGGAAACATTCATGCAAATATCCAACCTCTCTTCCAAGCAACCATCTTGAAACTTGAAGTGATGGATACATGAAAAGTCGATGCCTCCATCCCATGGTCATCGGTGAGAAGCGTCTCTCAAACCACCAGGTCCGTCTGCTGTAGTTCCATGTCAAAGGCCCAAGAAACAAAAATGTCACTCCGGCCACCAGCACTGAACGGCCAAGCATGTAAATGAAAGCTTTGCACACCATCGCAGCCATCATCACACAACCATGGAATGTGGAAGTCATCAATCCATCCATTGCATCTGCAACCATCAGCCATGCAGTCTCTTTCTCGAAGGACTCGATTGGAACTTCGGCTCTTGGCATTGAGCTGCATCCTTTCAACTGTGTGAACACTCCCAACGTAGCTGTTGCAATTTGAATCAAACGCACGCATTGTTGTCTTGCAACCCTGTTGGAATGGCGCACTCTCTTCAGTTCACTATCATCAGTGATTTCATCAAGACCGGCCATGAAAAGACCAATCAACCTTCCAAGAAATCTTCGCCTCTCCCCACTTAACCTCTTTGCGTTGAGGTCACCAGGGTTCAACTTTGTGTTGATCTTGTGGATTGTAAAAATACCAGCTCTCAACAAGTTCTGCAAGAAAAACTGTCTGATCTGAACATGCTTCAACCTTCCGGTTCCAGCTCGTTGGATAAGTGCCATTGCCGACGATGAGT